ATCCATTAATGCCAAATCAGGCCGTATATTTAACCTGTTGGTGACTTGACGATTGAAACACCCAAAGGCACAAGTCTATTAGAAAAAATGTAATTTAATCTGGATTAAGCTGTTTGAAATTTACTTATAATTGTTCCAATATCTTCTTCAGTGTTTTGAATAATGGAAATATTGTCATATAGTATTTTGAAATTACAGCTATTAAATCATTGATTCAAAAACTGTATCAGTTCATATTTTTGTGGTACTATATTGTTTATTTGAAATGTAACGACAGGTATGCTAACATTTTCATGTTTTTGACCTGGATGAACGACATTATTCAGTGTAACATGCACCAAAGACTCCTTGATCTGGCTGAACGGCACTATTCAGGGTGACATGCACCAAAGACTCCTTGATCTGGCTGAACGGCACTATTCAGGGTGACATGCACCAAAGATTCCTTGATCTGGCTGAACGGCATTATTCAGTGTAATATGCACCAAAGATTATTGATCTGGCTGAATGTCATCATTCAGCGTAACATGCACCAAAGATTATTGATTGTAATTTTATATCCAACAGACGCTTTTCAGTCTTCATTATTTTTGAGTAAAATTGAATATATGCCTACCTAAGCACATAACGTTTATAAAACTTCACGATTCACGAAACGTGATTGTGCATAAAAGTAAATTTTGGTTTCTTCTAAACTAGATGAATATAACACCACCTATAGCCCAGAGAAATATTTTATTTTACACATTATTACACTCAGTATTATAATCTCATCCCATATTTTTGATATTAAATACAACAGAGAAAAACAAAAATGCGTTGAAAACAATAACTGTTTGTCTGCTACTACTTATATTCTGTCATTTCCTAAGTATCAGGAATAAATATTTCTCTGGTTTTTTTTAATGATCGTAAAAAACTGTTTTTGTTGCCATCGAAAACTTGCTACCCTAATGCAATGAATTCCTTTAGGAACTCAGTGAAAGATAAATGAAAGCCAGTTTGGAAGAGGAGACTAGAATTATTCTATAGCAGTAGTGAGTGTTAGTAGAGTCGGAAGTTTCTGATAACGCAATACAAACATGTTTTAGTCTTGTTTCTCAAAAAATCAGGTAGACAAGGATCATTGTAATAAAAGGTTTAGATAAATATGCTTACCCTTGTTTCTTAAAACATCAGGCCCACAGTGACTCAGCGGTTAGTCTGAGGGCTAATAACACTTAAAACTCGAGTTCCAATACTCTCGGTGGGCTGAGTAGTTGATAGCCCATCATGTAGTGTTTTGTATAATACAAAGAAATATAACATCAGATAGTTGAGGATCGTGAGGGTAATGATGCGTACGATCTCAGTTACAAATATTACCATTAACGCTTTCTTTGAAGATTCTTGTTACTAAAGACGTGACGTAATAATTGTGGCTTTTAGACTTCCTTCACATTGTTAGTATAAACATTTAGAATATACAACGATATTTTGAAAGTTTATAACGATTGAATAATTATTTTGTTTTTATAGTATCATGTTTATAACGTCACTTTGGGTACATTATAATAGTGTTAATCATACAAAACATTTGAAAACACGGGCAGTAGTTCATTAGAGGATAGCCTATGACGGTAAAATTTGTAGGTTGTTTGTTAGATTTAGAGCGAATCCACATTGGGCTATCTGCTGTGTTTACCAAAGGGAATCGAACCTCGGACTTTAGCGTTGTAAATCCGTAAACTTACCACTGTTCCACCGGGGGACATCGTAGGTTGTATTTTTCATATCAGATCTTAATAAGTAAATGATTATAACTCGGTCGGTCACGGAAAAAAAATGTAGGTTTCATGTCAGCTATAAAGCTTCGGTTATTAAAAAATTAGGGTACAACCGGTTACAGTAAAAATCACGTGTTTAATGTCCACTATAAAGTCTCCATTATTAAAAGGCTAGAGCACAATCGGTTACAGTAAAAAGCGTTGGTTGTATAACTTCTATGAAATATCAGTTAGTAAAGGATGTTTAGTTTATACAGTTTCTTTTGAAGGTCTTCAACAAGTCAATAAAATTGTAAAGTTTGTTTAATAAATGTTGCGCAAAGCTACTCAAGAGCTATCTGGGTTAGCCGTTCCTAATTTGGAGGGAAGGAAGCTAGTCAACATCACCTACTGCCAACTTCTGGGTTACTCTTTTATTAAGAAAAAATAGTGGGAATGACTGTTAGATTATAACGCCTCAACGGCTGTAAGGGCGAGCATGTTGAGTGATGGGATTCGAGCTCGTGACTCACATATTGCAAATTGAGTGTTCTAATCAGCAGGTCATGCCAGGCCGAAATGCTAATAAAGAACATAGTAAAACAAAGCACAAAATATTTTAATTGTCAGCTGTCAGTCTAGTTGTCTTTTTATTATTATTAATGTTTAATTATTTCGTAGTACATAAAGGATCTGGTAAAATAATTTTGTGAGTTTTGTAATAAGAAGCGGACACGAACGGAAAAATTAGTTTAAACAGAACACTTTGCGTTTGGAAAGCTAAACATTGGTATATACTGTTGAACAGACTTAAACAACAGATCTTCTGGAAAGCTAAACATTGGTATATACTATTGAATAGACTTAAACAATAGATCTTCCTAAAAACTTTGTTTTAGTTTTAAAAGAAGGAATTTTACTTTTTGTAATTTAAGCTACATTAAAACTAGTGTACGTAAGAAAAAAATATAGTATTATTAAACATTCTGTGTTAGTTTCGGTCTTAGCATGAGTTAAATATTACATAATAGTTTTAGTCTTAGCATGGATTAAGTATTCTATAGTAGTTTCAGTCTCAGTATGGATTGACCGTTCTGTAATAGTTTCAATATTAGTGTGTATTAAACAGTTTGTAATAGTTTCAATCTTAGTATGAGCTAAATATTCTATAATGATTTCAGTTTAGCATGGATTAACCGTTCTGTAATAGTTTCGATCTTAGTGTGGATTAAACAGTTTGTAATAATTTCAATCTTAGTATGAGTTAAGTATTCTATACTGATTTCAGTCTCAGTATGGATTAACCGTTCTGTAATAGTTTGAATCTTAGTGTGTATTAAACAGTTTGTAATAGCTTCAATCTTAGTATGAACTAAGTATTCTATAATGATTTCAGTCTCAGTATGGATTAACCGTTCTGTAATAGTTTCAGTAGTGAAAAAGATTACCACTTTGTTAAGTTTCAGTCTTAACATAGATTAAACATTCTGTGTTAGTTTTAGTCTTAGCAAGGATTAAACACTTTGTAATAATTCCATTTTCGCCATGGATTAAACATTTTGTAATAGTTTCAGTTTAATAATAGTTTGTGTCTTGTGTAGTTTTAATAAGTTCGACACTGGAAATAGAATAGTGCATAGACATAAATATTTCCTTATTTCCTTTAATCTATGGTATTATTTGTAGTTTCTTTCAAATTATCGATCAGAAGCACAATGAGCCGATATTTTGAAAGTTATTATCTTTCTTTACATTGAAATTTCGTAACTTCAACATTTAATTTTTCAGGTATTAAAAAATGAAACATTTTTAAACTACAGAGGGAAAAAAAGGGATTTACTTAAATTCAACACTTGGAAGTACGAATCATTATGAGGTAAGATATTTTATACGGTATTTCCCCTTGTTTCGTTATATCCACCTAAACATTTCCAACGGTTCAGCAATACAATATACGGTGTAATCAACAAGAACACCCTTTGTAAATTCAACAGTAAAACACACACATAAAGGATGGTTTCAGGGTCAGTAGAAAGTCAGGGTTATACTGTTAAACCTTTAGTAGCGGTAAAAGGTGGGAAATCCCCTGCTCATCTGGGTTTTACTGGCCAGCTGGAGATGGTTTTTTTTGTTAATGATACAGTAACTTTCTGTCGAGTCGTGACTACAATGTCCTTTGTCTTTATCTATTGGTCTTAAGGTACAGTAAAAGTTGGGGAAGACCCAATTTTTTGAAAGATTAAAAACTGATACATATGTTCATAACAAAGGGAAATCCAAGCACGTGATTCAAATTGTTTGAAATACGTCAAAACACTATAAATAGTATCTTGCCAGGACTTCTAGTTCATTGTAACGTCATTTACATCTGCTCCTCGAGTTGATTTGTTGTAACCAGCTCGCACAATCATTTTGGTAAGGTAAGTAGACGTAAACTGTTCATTGGTTAATGTTTGTGCGTGTACTATTTCAATAACTTCTTACTCGTTTCTTGTCAGAATGAATATCTGTAGCCTTTGCTCTTATCAAACAATTCAGGAATCAGAGTTAATTCATTTTTCTCATAAAACAATTGGTCTTCTTTCCTTGGTTTTACGTTATGTTTTTTAATTGTTAACGATACCCAAAAATGTATTTTCTAATCCTTTGCAATAGCTTACATTATCTGTATTGAAGAAATTATATATATATATATATATATAATTATATTTTGAGTAGTTTGACAACAATAGCTTATGAGGTGCTCGAAATTGAGCTTACTCAGTTAATCTTCTTAAAAATGTTTTGCTATAATTCATAATGTTTTCCCGTTCATTATAAAAGTCAAATATAAACAACATTGAGCGACTTCTAATTTAACTAGTATACAAGTCAAAATGTAATTTTTTATAAATAGTTTTTCAGGTAACATCTAGCCCAACCAGTACTATGGGTAAAGCTTTGAAAAGTCTGGCAGCCGTTCTTGTTCTTTTGTTTTTCCTCGATAATGTCCGATCGTGGAAAGGTAGTGGAGGATATGGAGGGAGCGGTCATTTGAGTTCTGGATTTGGCGGATACGATGGATATGGCTCATATGGAGGAGGGGGAAGACGCGGAGGTGGTTTCCGTAAAGGTGGTGGTCTTGGCGGAGGAGGTGGTTTTGGTGGAGGAGGTGGTTTTGGTGGAGGTTATGGAGGAGGCGGGGGTGGTGGTTTTGGTGGAGGTTTTGGAGGAGGCTATGGAGGAGGCTATGGAGGAGGCGGTGGACGTGGTGGAGGTGGTGGATTTGGAGGAGGTTTAGGCGGAGGAGGAGGAGGATTCAAAAGGTTCAGAAAAGGTGGTGGAGGATATCGACGTGGAGGTAGAGGTGGCTATTGTGGATCTTGTGGGTAAGTTTGCAGCTGAAATGTTATTACAATATAGTTCTGCGTCAAACTTACATGGCTCGGCATGGCCAGGTGGTTAGGGCACCCGACTCGCAATCTGAAGGTCGCGGATTCGTTGGTAAAAGAGTAGCCCTAGAGTTGGCAGTGGGTGAGGATGACTAGCTGCCTTCCCTCTAGTATTTCACTGTTAAATTAGGGACGGCTAGTGCAGATAACCCTTGTGTAGATTTGCGCGAAATTCAAAACCAACTTACGTGTGACTATAAATAAGAAACTTCTGTTAAAATAGGCTCGGTCTGGAGCAGTAAAACTTTTATTAAATTTAATAGATAACTGGTGTTTATCCGAGAGAGGAGGGAGGGAAGGAAATTTTGAAAACATTCAAAAACTCTCGAAAACTAGTTAAGCGCGGCGAAAGGACGATTCACAAGCATTAATTAATATTAGATCTTGAATATCGATGCATTATTCTATGCGCATTCGGAAAACATTCTGAAGAATAAAACTTGAATCAAACAACGTGCAATCAAGTTTGTTTGAAGTTAAGCACAAAGCCACACAATGGCCTATCTGTGCTCTGAACAGCAGGGGTATCGAAAACCGGTTTCTAGCGTTGTAAGTCCGCAAACATACCGCTATGCCACTGGGAGGCACATGAAATCAACTGTCATGTTAAGTAAACTTATTTCATAATTCAGTTTAATATCATAACAAAGACAATAGCAGCGCACCAGTAAATTATATCAAGTAACAAAGAATTTTTAATATATTTAATTAATAACAAAATTAAACTATCCTAATTATTTACTGTTTGTCACACTGAATTCTAAGTTATAGAACTTTCTTAATCAGTGGACAATGGTTAGACGTTTTTATGCTTTTAATAGTTGACATGATGATCATATTTAGATGTTGACCAAGTATAAATGAACTTATTAAAACTAACAAAAAAAGATAATTAAAGGAATCATTTAGTCGTTGAGAAATTTACATTATAGTAAAAACCAGTAAACTATTTACATTGCTAATATAAACAAAAATGTATAGTATCGTGACTGAATAAAAATGATCACGTAAAAAAATAACAATGTTGGTTGACTTGGAAGAAAAAATAATGTATGAAAAATTCCTTAAAATTATAATAGTTAAGTAAACATAAGCCACTGACATTCTGTTGAAGGCTTTCTACAGATATTTCATTTTAAAGAAAATATTAGTCAAGTCGAGTGTTTGATAACGTTCGAAATGCACATTGAACTATGTTTGTTAACTACAGTTGTATATTTACCCCAATATTGTATGAATATGGAAAGTAGTTGATTAACTACAGTTGTATATTTACCCCAGTACTGTATAAATATGGAAAGTAGTTGACCACTTGTGATCATCTTCCTCATTATGGCAGCTAACTTCAGATAAACTATGTGGATTTTGGACAATGCCAATGAACGTTATCACTAAAGGTTTTCTAACTGTTTGAGACTGAATGTTACTAGACATTATAGTTATTCTGATTAATTTAACTTAAAGAGGTGGTAAGGTAGCATATAATGTAAGATTATTATTAGGATGAATCCAAACTATATCTTATGATGTTTTATAATAAATTATTGTTTGATTACTGTTTTTTTTCTTCTGCAGTCATGGCTGATAACAGTGAATCGTCAGAGAAGCTAAACTCGGATATCTCTATAGGATCAACGTGTGTTTTTCTGTTTAAATATCAAATATGTTTTGCACCCTTAGAATTTACTTAATGATTTGTTGTTATTTTAATTTTACAAATAACTGAAGAAGTTTCAATAAATATATGAGAAGTTTATCAAAATCTCTTATTGTATAAGGTTCGTTTAACACTTTCTCTTATATTTAGTAGTAGGATACGTCTAACAGTATCGGTTAGTTTTAACATGGCACAAAATTTCATATGCGTTTACAGTATAAAAATATGTTGAACATAAAAAGTTAAAAAAGATAGAAATTAATTATTTGGTTAACAATTACCTTTTTGAAGGTTTTGACTAATTGTTAAATATTATCAGTGTGGTAGGCTTATATTTTTTCGTATCGCTCTACCATCTGTATAATGTAATCACATGGGGCGAACAAACTATACGACGATCAACCATTTATAACAGCATCAAATATGAAGAGCTTTTACTTGCATCTTATACAGTCAAACTGTTACATTTTACCAACTATTGTTGCAATTGTGCAGAGACACAAGTAATTCATAGCGTTTATTAACACATGTGGTGGATTAAACTTTTTGGCAAAACAACACACACTATATGCTGTTTCTTAGAGAGAGACTTTAGAAAAACATAAAAAAGAGAAACAATAAATTTATATAAACATGACACTACAAAGTGGATTAATTTAACAAAATATTACTAGGGTAACTTTATATAAACATGTCACTAACAAAGTGGATTAGTTTAACAAAATGTTACTAGGATAACTTTATATAAACATGTCACTAACAAAGTGGATTAATTTAACAAACTATTACTAGGATAACTTTATATAAACATGACACTAACAAAGTGGATTAATTTAAGAAAAACGTTACTAGGATAAGTTTATATAAATCTGACATTAATAGTGGATTAATTTAACAAAACATTACTAGGATAACTTTATATAAATTTGACACTAATAGTGGATTAATTTAACAAAACATTACTAGGATAACTTTATATAAACATGACACTAACAAAGTGGAAAGAAAACATCCATACTAAAATCCAAACTAAAAACTAAAATCTTATTATTTTTAGAAAACAAATTACTTGAAACAACCGGGCGTATAGAAGTCTTGGCTGATAAAAAGATATATGTATTTATATGGGTAAAACGTATATAGCAAATACCAGGTAAGTACAGAAAGATAAAGTATTCTACAAAAGTATTAAAAACATCGATTCCTTGTTTTGTACTAAATCAGCTGAACACGTGATTTACAAATAACTTGATAGATTCAATTGCATGCATGTATATGTTTTTCTACAAAGCTAAAAACTAAAGTTTTTAAATAGAAATAGTCCAGATACGTAAACCTAAACCTCCATTGAGCTTACTAACTAGAAATGCTTCGCCCACAATGAGGAGAGGATCAGACTAAGTCCAAATAAATAAGATGACATATTTTGAAAAAAGTTACTTCAGTGCTAAATCACCTGACTTTAAGAGAAAGAAACTGTGTTCTATTCTACTATTTATCTTGCCAGGTTTCGTGTAAGAACCAGATTTTTTTTACAGTAGGTGTCTGTGACTTGTTGGCGATAAATTTCAACAATAAACAAACAGCACACAGTCCACTTGTTTTAAAATAATATATATTAAAACACGTCAAACATATACAAATGATTCTTACACTGTTTGTTATAACAGTTGTATCTATAGCTTTAAATAATTGTTTCACTTTCGTCCAATTCCATACAGGTCGGTTCAGTTACTTTAGAACCCAATCTGACAAGACGATTTTTTCTTCTCTACTCTGTTATTACAATATAATATGTGATAAGCTCACTTCAGAAATTGCCACTATACACTCTTTATGGCTAAATGCACAATCACGCAGTCTAGATCTATCTATCAAACTAAACTTATAACGCATGTTTATACTCCAACAGAGGTCTAGAATGTTCCACACACTACTACATATTATGATGCAATAACACTCAATTAAAACAACGAGAAAAACTCAGAAGATTCTAGTAACACGATGCAATAATATAGCAATCACCAATTCATAACTATTGAACTACACAGCGTATGATTCGTAAACAGTTGTGTAAACAAACTTGTGGTAAACTGTCGCTTCTAAAAATAAATAAATTTAACACTTGCACTATATAAACTATCTAAATCATAACACTCGCCTTAAACTTAAACCGAAACAATTGTACATATCTAACAATAAGCTCCTCTTTAAGAAAAATATTCACAATATTTTTATACTATATATAAAGACTGTTTTCAGTTCATGCCCAAAGTCTACTCATACAATCTACGCCAACATTTGCAGTCCCCTCGATGACCTCAATGCAAAATGGCAGTCCTGGAAATACAATACCCACCGCATGATCCTCGCACTGTCGATTTTACACCACTGGATATATGCAAGGGACTGATGGTCCGTCTGGATAATGAACTCCTTCCTGTAAAGGTAGTTCTGGAATTTCTGGGTGATAAATATGATGACCAGACACTCTCGTTTAATTGCAGAGTAGTTCCTCTCACTACTCAATGGGTTTTTAATGAAATAGTCCGTCTAAATGTTCTTGCAGAAGTACTGCTCCAATTCCAAAGTCTGATGCATCAACCTGAATGATGAACGGCTTGTTCAAATATGCCATTCTAAGTATTGGCTAACTTCCTAACATGTTCTTCAAATTCTGTAATGTCAGCTGCTGTGGTTGTTCCCACTTCACTTTGTTGGGTTGGCCTTTCTTGATCAGGTCAGTCAGTGGTGCAGCGACTTCAGTGTAGTTTGGGTTGGACTTTCTATAGTATCCCACTAACCCAGAAAGGATCTGACTTGCTGCTTGGTCATCGGAGTTGGTGCATCTTGTATGTGGGTTAGCTTCTTCTCTTCCATGGCTATCTGTCGGTCACCTACTTTGTGTCCAACAAAGACCAGCACAGAATAACCGATGGAGCACTTAGATGGTCTAATGGTCAGACCTGCTACCCTCACTCAACCAAACAGCTCTCTGAGTTTCTTCAGGTGATCTTCCCATCTGGGTCAGAATGTCGTCCACATTTTGCTCGATTTTGGTGGTTTTGCACAACATCTTCCTCATCGTGTGGTTGAATGTCGCTGCTGAGTTCAATAACCCAAATGGCATCCTATTAAAATGGTAACATCCATCTGGTGTCATAAAAGCTATCTTCTCTTTAGATTCTGTCTCCATCGGGATTTTGCCAATAACCTTTACTGAGGTCGATCGTGGTAAAGAACTTGGCCCCATCTAGTTTTGCCATGATAGTCTCTGGGTGACCCATAGGTTTGGAGTCGAACTTTGTAACGAGGTTCAGCTTCTGGAAGTCTATACAGAAGGGGTTTGAACCACCCCTCTTCTTCACAATGACTACTAATGAATAGTAGGCTTAATTCGAAGGCTCAATGATTCCAGCTTCTAACATCACCTCTCATCACATAGGGCTTCACCTTAACTGGATCTTTTATCGTGATCTCGGTAAGCAAATAATACGGCTTGCAGGCACCTGTCCCAGTCGCGGGTCTCTCCTGGTACATATTCTTGAGTATGTTGACTGACTCTCTCAGAAAGACCATTACATCTGAGGTTGTACAGGGTAGTAAAAAGCTGCCTAATTCTGATGATCTGCACACGTCTTGCATCAGTTCTGAGGTAAACTGGATCCTTCTGTCACTCAATACTTCTTTTGGAAAGCATACTCTGCAGAGCAATTCCAGGAGGGCTTCTGGTACTTTCTCTGTCTATTTCTTCGGTAGTGCTATCACTTCTGAGTAACATCTCACATAGTCAACCAGTTGCTCTTGTCAGGTACAGGTGCTAGTGGGTCAATCAAGTTCACAGTTACTTTGCTGAATGGCTCTTCTATGAGAGGCATCTCACCCAGTGGCACCTGGGCTACCTTCCCTTGAGCTACTATCCTTTGGCAAGTGTCACATGACCAGCAGAATCTGGTCACATCTCTGATGACCCCCAGCCAATGGAAATTGCTGATGATTTTGTCAGTTGTCTTCTTCACTCCTAGTTGACCTCCCACAATCGACTTGTGGGCCAACTTCATCACTTGAGTCTGGTATTCTGTTGGTACTATGATTTGTTTAACTTCCCCAGTAGAACCGCCTTGATAGATCTAGTACAGCACTCCCTTCCAGTCTTCTATTTTGTAAATCAATTTCCCTTTGTCTTGTGCTCAACTTTCTCTCAGGCATTGTCCCAAATTTTTTGCAGTGAAGGTTCTTTATGCTGTGCTTCCTTCAGTTAATGTAGACCTACTTTCGGGATGTCACCTGTTGAGACTTGTATTGCTTGCTTTTCTTTCCTTGAGCTCTGGTGACTTCAGATGTTTTATCGGTCTCCTTTTTGTCTGGTTCTTCCAAACTTCTACTGCCTGGTATATTGCCAATCACCAGATCATAGATGTATGCCTTCATACCCATGACCTCAAGGTCTCCCACGTAGTATGGAGTGTTACTATTATTCATGCTATGGAACACTTTCTCACTGTCCCATCAATCAGCACATACACATGCACCTTGCCCGTCATCTGGTCAGATACTGGACTGGTTCTCACTGCTTCACTGCTACACCCAGTGTCTCGTAGGACTTCCACTTTCTTGTCCCCAACATAGTTTTCACCTACTGGCATGTTATGATTTGTTGGCACCTCGCAGTGTCGGTCACATGCTCCAATCACTATTGGTACTATTGGTGTGTTTGCTAACTTGAGATGGCTATCAATCATGCACTGTTTAATCATGGTGATAGCACTTCCTTCTTGTAGTGAATCTGATGATCTGTCTTCTTTATGTTTCTTCTGGTAGCATTACCTATGATGACAGTCAACCATTTCTTTTTTCTTGCCAGCACCATCTTTCTAAGTAGCTCTAGCTGTTTTATGTTGAGATGTCTGCTGTTGCCTATTGGTGACAGACTTGCACTTACTCGCAATGTGCCCCATTTTATAACAAGCATAGCATCTCTTCTCCCTTTTGACTTTTGACTTCTTGTTACCTTTGGTTGCATCCTGCTTAAGGTCAGCCACCCACAGTTTTTACTTTAACTGGTTATTCTTGGACTTGCCGTTTATACTCCCTTATACTTCCAT